TGTATTTACTTATAGTTGTTCTATTGGAAGACTATGTAACTATTCTTAAACCGTCCAGTGGTGTGCTCGTCCGTGTTGTTTGGGACGTTTTCCTATTCACATCACACCGGGACTCAACACTGTATGGTGACCTGTTGACCCTGTTGACAGCATCTTTTGGGGGTCCTGAGGTTATGAGAAGAAGAAGGACGGGAATTTCCAGAGCACTTTGGGCCCACACGAGCCCTATGAGTCGTGCATCATGTTGAGTTCGGGGTTGCCAACTATATACTTGTACCCAACAGGTGGTGTTGTTTCATCCAAATGGCGTTTGGTAGGCTTAGGCATAGGAAGACAGCAGATAGCAAGGAACGGCAAGTTCCGAATGTGGGCTTAGGCTGTTTCAACCAGACTTGAGGATCCAGTGAAAGCATTGGAGCGGTTGGTATCAACGCAAGGGGGGAGGTCCTGTGATACGGCACAAGTATTTGAAGAATTGATTCCTGCACGGGCCGATGGTATAATGGGAGAACGCACCAATACCATCCAATCCCCTTGTTGGCGCAATTTTCACCAACATGTTTACACCCTTTTCGTCCGGAAATCGCGTGATGTACATCACGCCCTTGCAGTTCCTGGGAGGCACAACGGAGTTTCGCTCTTTGGTCGTTGTTTAGGTCCGCACCATCCGTGCTGATAATCCGTGATCATCCATCCCTCCAAATTCCCTTGGGAGATTGGCCTATGCCAGGACCCGACACCGTGGGGTGTCTATGTAAATAGCCCCTTAGCAATTTTTCAGGAGTGTCCATGAAAACCACCCCGACTGGGGGTTCTGGTGCCTTTGGCCTATGCCTGCGTTCAACACCAGGAGCAGACCAAGAGGACGATGCGGAAAGTCTTTGAAGAAAACATGGAGGACGACTTCTGTATAATACGCTAGTAGTAACAAGTGCCACGCTAGTAGTAACAGGTGCCTTACTAGTAGTAACAAAGAAGCTATTATATGTTTGTTTTTTTTAGTTTTTTTCCTTAAAAAGAGTATCCACGCATCCGGATGATGCCGAAATGCGGCTAACCTAGCCTCCTGGCGCCTGGGTGTGAGCTCTCCCGGGGTGAGTCCACTGGTCGACCTGGGTATGTTTATTTCTGTCAACGACGGATTTTTCCGAGTTGATGGAGGCTTCGGCTTAGCAGGAAGTCCTTGAGTCGTCACTAGCTCTCTCCAACTCATGGGGCTCCTTCAATCCGAACCATTTCGACCCTCACCAAAAACCCACCGCCCCCAGACGCGAAGAAGACCGTTCATTCGCTCCTCGGTTGGGCGGAAGACGTGGAAAAGGCAGGAACAAGCGATCGGAACCCACTCCGCCGCGGAGCCGGGGTTTTCGACCCAAAACGTGCACCAGGACCAACGCCGACGGGATATTGCTAAGAAAGAGGCCACTGAGAAGGAGGCGCAGAGAGGAAAAGGAGCCGAGCCATGTAGACTTGAAGCCGCACTTGCGACCTTTTGGGAAAAGGCAAAATGCCCGACAGGTTTCAACATCTTACAGTCACTAACTATAGCAATTGTTTTAAAATCACGAAAGGTAGCCTGGTAAGGACTACCTTGAGTTTGCTTTGCGAAGCAAAGGGACTGGCTTGAGAGCTTGCTCGGGACTAAAGATTGGTAGATCAATGTCTAACACCCCCCCCCCCCCCCCCTCCCCCTCCCCTCCCCTCCACTCCCCTCCCCGTCCCCTCCCCTCGTCGCCAGCACTACTAAATTCTGGACATAAGGTGAAGTCATGCGCTTAACAGTCACAGCAGTACGACGCTGGCCATGAGGTTGCGCAATACAGCACGAACCCTGCGCAATGAGGTCGCGCAATGCAGCTTCGATGCCGCGCGTGCGCACCCGGCAGCCTGACACAGCGCGTACTGCGTACTGCGTTCACAGACCATATTGCTTGACACCAACGAGCATCGATGCAACACAGCCTCTCTGCAAAGCCCTGTGGAGAAACCCCTCGCGTCGCGGAACACCATTCGACTCAGCCTTATACCCTAGCGTGGCGAAATCTTACCGCATCGTGGAGCACACCCACCATAGCGTGACGTCCATCCCTGGCAGTACCGGCCGCACCCCTCCAGCACTATCCTTACAAGGGGGTTGGTCACTGAGTCACTGCGGCTTCGACGCAACGCGTGCAGGCCTGTAATCCTGACACAGTGCGTGCAGCTGTGGGACCATAGCTGGTACACATGCGAGCGTTTACGCATTGCGACTTTTACGCACGCCTTTTTTCACACACCTAGACACAAACGAGCGTCGACGCAACGCAGCCTCTCTGCAGAGCCGTGTGGCGCAATCTGACCGCAACGGAGTTCCTCTTGATCCTTCTTATGCCTTCTTGTGCTCTGTGGCTTTGTTGGTTTCATCTATGATTGACCAAGGGGCACGTTCCTGAAACACCGGAGACAGTCCCTCACCAGAAAAGGTCCCGACAGCTACTCGGTCCGTCTCTACCTTTCGTGTTTCCCCGCTCAAGTTGCTTTGACACATGTTTCTTCCGTGAAAAACTCTAAGGCCAGATGGGTAGGTCAGTTTTCGTTGCTTCTCCTCGTTTCCGGTTAGCGCCAAAAAGGCGGCGCCAGCCTGCGCACAAAAGCACAGCACCGCTTGGCGGCTCGTGTGTGAGGCGGAAACCATGAAGGAATACAACCGGCTGCTGGACGAACAGGAGGAGCAACGAGCGCACGAGTTAGCCGCAAGGATGGAGCGTGCCTCGGCGGAGGACGCCGGCAGGTGACGTGGGAGGTGGGAGGTGCTGTGGGAGGGTGACGCTGTTGCACACTGGGTGAGTGGGGGGAACCGAGGCTTGTACGAACACAGCACGAAGTGGACGGTCGTGCCCTTACAAAGACCGTGTAGACTCTAGACTCTACGGCGTGGTGAAACTCCATGTGTTCTGATGATTTGTGATGTGTTTTATCGGAGTGTGACGCTTCATGACAGATGTGAGTGCTTGTCGTAATCGGTTGATGAGACGCTCTATGTGCGTGGCCATCCTGCATGGCTCTCCGCGCCATGCTACATAGACACCAACCTGTTTATGAAAATGATAAGTGTTACTCTGGAACTAGCATGGAAGTGGAGTTCACCCCCTGTTTCCCTGTCAGCTCCAAAGAGTGCAATCACGTCAATTTGTCAATGAGATCTCCTAACACATCCTAACACTTGATTACACAGACCATCCATGGGAGCGGCATATATTGCCTACGACATCGACATGCCTATACCATCCGGATGGTTTGGGTTATGGAATTCATAAGTTGGAAGCCACAGTGGGGCTGTGGAAAAAGTGGAACCCAAAGTGGAACCCACGTTTTCCAACGCACTCTCTCTCTCTGAATATATCATCCCTTGTTTTGTTGCTGAATGAGATGAGCCAAGGACAGTCCGAACTCATGAAGAAGTTGCAAGAGAACGTAGTGACTCGGATTGAGACCCGTTCGTCATCTCATTTCGTCTCAGTCGTTTAAACTGCCAGAAGCCAGCCCGACATTGGCTGGTGGACATTGGCTGGCTTCTAGTGTAGTGACCATTGGATGTGGTGAGGATATATAAGATGTTTTTTATCGGGGTTGCCTGTCGCCAAGTTATCAACAGGGAATCTTTTGAGAATGCAATATCATCAGGTGCATGCCACATGTTATGCAGTTCATCTCAGGCTTGAATGTTCTCCATGTTCTCCGTACTGCATGATGACGGGGTACTTGCTTGCTTGAACCGGACGCTGACTGGAGTGGTCGGTACTGCACTCTCTTCCCCGTTGAGGACACCGTGAAGAAGGGTGCCGGTGACAACGATGCCCAACGGGCGGCTCTACAAGCGGAAGAGCAAGACAGGCGAGGAGCTCGGAGACGAAAAAACTCGGGCGAATGCCCGGGCCGGCGGATGGCGCCTTTTTCCTCATGTGTTTCATCGTAATTATCAGTAATTCATAGCAGAAAATGCACTACAGGCAGACAGTCAGGCGCATATCCAATGCAAAAATGCATCATATCCATTTGCCGGCCCATGTTCAGCTGCGAATGATTGGTGGAAGGAGCCCTTCCTAAGCAGGGACAGGGAATTCATTGATCAGTGAGCAGTTGGGACGGTGCGGAGTTTGTGGATGCAAGTAGGTGAGCAAGGGAGTGTTGAGGTTCAAAAACCAAAGATTTACTCTTGCTTCTACTCAGCAAGTGAGTGAATAGTAGATGATCGTAGTACTTCTGAAATATTCTGTAATATGTCTCCAGCAAACCTGGCCCGGTCCCGACTCCAAAACCCAGTCAGACTTACTTTGCACTCACATTTTCACCTATCTATAGCACTTCCTGTTTGGGTGCCCTGTTTGGAAGCTAAGTAAGGTAGGGTAGTGACCCTGGTATATAGTACCCTGGGAGTCAAAGACTATAAAAAGAATGGTCTTTAGGTGACCCGAGTTCAGGAATTTTCCTTTACTTCAGTCGGTCAAAATATAGTCTTTGGACTTCTAAGGGTATACTCTTTCGGGGGGAGGGCCCCAAGAACCACGGTCGCCACCTCCGCTTCGCCCCCTTCGGTCGCAGGGTGGGCGCCCTCGTGTCGCAAGGCACTACTTCGAAGCGGAGTCCGTGAAGCAGAACCGTTTGCAACAGCCGGGGAACCGGAGGGTGAGAACTGCTGAAGCAGAACGGTGCCCTTTGTTCCAGTCTCCAAGTCCAATAGAAAGAGCTGTCTAGGCCAGCGCCAGGCGAGGTGTCTAGGATGGTTACGGCCATGCAAGTTTCCACTTCAAGATTGAGATTGCTTTTTGGGGACCTTTGTTCATAGCCTAGCCTTTGGACGTGATTGATGTGATTGGTGCATGAAAAAGACACATTCTTTCAACATCCTCATGGCCACTCCAAAACTGCCTGGAAACCTCTCCACTTCTGTGTGGATTCCCCGCAGCTCGGGCCTTGAAGATCGGCCGGGCACAAGTTCCGGGGCGAGGCACCAGCGACCTGTTCGATCACGTGCCGTCGGATGCAGAAAGAACAACTTCTCAAGACTTGGCGAATTCTCCAAAAAATACATCACCTTGGACCCCTTGCTGTTTGTTGAATTTGGCGCATCCGTGGGATCCTGAACTTCCATCCCCGGAACCAACATGGCTCCGAAGCCGCACACCAGCCCGGCGGCCCACGCCGCACCGCCCTGGGTGCTGCCACGCCGCCCCAGTCCACCGGCGCGGCTGCGCGTGTCGCCGCGCTCGCCGTGGTCGCCGGGGTCACCGAAGATGGTGGCGCCCACGTCGGTGGTGATGGTGCCACCCATGCCCATGGCCACCGGATGGGGGTGGAAGCCCAAAGAGGAGGAGCGGGGAAAGCAGATGATGAGCGCGGAAAGCGGGAAGAGATGGTGAGATAGGGAGAGATGGCAAAAAAATGTTGTCCGACTTGTTATTGCGAACACGCGCGAACACCAAATCCCTGGTCAGCGTGAAGAGTTGACAGCTGACACCAGTTGACAGATGTTGACGGTTGCTCTTGGCAAGCACGACGTAAACGCCTAACTTGCACCTGCTGGAAACCGTGGAAACCCAAACAAACCAGAAATCAATTGTGTCTACACATGTTTAGAACCTGAATGACCTCTCTTTTTGACCACCAACCACCCAAAATATTGCCTTTTCCTATCAAAACAGAGGTCATGTTTGGGTTCCAGGTGTCTATATACAAACTATACCCCACCACGGGTTCTGTAACCTGTCCCCGCCTCAATGGTGCGAGGAGAAGCGCTGGTGCCTGGGTGGATTGGGAAGCCTTGGCGGAAAGGAGAAGGACCAGGGGTTGGGTGAATGGAAATGCCTGCAGATGATCCCCTGAACCCTGAAAACTCCCGGATTCTGCATAGAAACCATCGAACATGCATCGTCACACCCGACGTGAATTTGGGGGGAGGCTAGCTTGGGCTAGTCCAAGACTGCTCATTCTAGGCGTAGGTGCTGGCATGATCAGGAAGGAGTTTCTTAGGGCCTTCAGGTCTCCATGAAGCACCTTCTCAGACGGGACGATTAGCAGGGAAGAGGTAGGAATTCTACATGATTTTGATCAACATCATTTTGCATAACAGTCTGTATATGTCAGTATGTAAAAAAATGGTTTCACTCAGATAAAAGTATCTGATAAACCTTGTTTGTCAAGAGCTTGTCAAAAACAGTATTTCAATGAACAATAATCACCCGGGTTGTGATGTACTTTTCAGTTGTTGATTCCATACCTCAACTCAGTTGAGTATACTTAGTGCTGCAATTGGACGTGCCAGCAGTCTTTCTATCCTGGTTTCAATCTAAGGATTTCATTTTGGGTAGTATGATTTGCAGGCCCAGAGAAATCCTTAAAGTGGTGGGAGTTGATCTTTCTCATAAACTAGCCATAAAGTTGGAAGTCCAAGTGTCTTGAGATTTGATATCAACGTTCTACAAAGCTGGGACAAGAGCTGTTGGCTTGTGTTGGTGAACCAAACAATCAAAACAAATCCCTAATTAGTATTATAAATAAAATTGAGGTGGTGGGTATCAAGCCACTAATACAGAGTGTGACACTTGGGGTAGTGTAACAATTCAATTGGAATACAGCTGCTGCCTGCTGGCTTTCCTCCATTGTTGCTTTCAATAGTGTGCCATGTGTTTTGTGTGTTCCAACTGCATGCAAAGTGCTTCAAACCTTGTAAGATGATATCTCCAGAAATGACCAGCCCACTCAAAGGGCACCCATTTATTATGGGTATGACTGAAAGGATGACTGCTTGCCAAAGCTGTTGATTGTGACTTGTCCACTTGGTATGATTTGCTTGTTTGAACCTGTGTAAAATGTCGGTGCAGGTGCAGTCATTGGTCCAACACTAGGAGTTTCTCTAAGTAGTTACAGGTAAACCTTGGATCCTTTGGTCGGGCTGGGTTGGGTTGGGTCGGACTGGGTTGGGCTGGGTCGGACATTTCTGGCCGGACTTCATCTTCATCGACCGCCTGCCTGCTTCCAACGACATGGTCTTCAAGGTGACACTGGCGTGTTTGCCGAGTCGTAGTATCAATAACTCTCGATCGTCCGACAAAGCGTGGGTTTCATTGCGTGATCTTGCAAATTTGTTGGCTCAGGAAAAGGATAAGGACAGCCATGCATGTTCTTAATTCCAATTCCCTGGGCATGGTTGCAACCACAACTCCACATTCCAACAGTCACAGCTTCACACATAATTTTCACATGTTATTTTGTTTATAGTTTCCGGGTGAGCCTCCGCGTGTTTACTTAGTCAAAGAGTTAATTGAATTAATGTCACCCAATCTATTTATTCACCACTTCAGATTTTTTTGGGTCGGACATCTCTCTGCGCGTCGGACAGTGCATGGCCTGGACGACGTGCGGCGGAGACCTTTTTGCCTTCGACCCCGAGTTGGACTTGGGGCGGAGGCCGTACAGGCGGCCAATTCAACAGCTGCCTCACCAGCCGGCCGGACCCATGCCGCAGAGGCAATGGCAGTCACGAGGTCGGACCTACTTCGATCGGGGAGCCAGGTCGTACAACCACCAGGACATCCAGGTCGACCTAGTGGACTGGGAGGACGTTGAGAAGGAGCCTCTGGTCATTGTGGCGTACGGGTGTGATTACCAGTACATGGACCTTGCACACCGTGACCCGATTCATTGCAGGCCGGACCCAAGTGGTAACTTTGCCCTTTGTTAATTCATTTGAATTTTTAAATTTTGATTCCACTTTGTTTCTTCAATGTAAATGTAAGAAGCCGCAGATTGTTTTATAAAATCCTGCTTTACTAAGACCCTTTGCCGGACAATATGGTTGCGCCGGGCCACCAGTGCATGCCGTTCCTTTTGAAGAAGCTGTTCTGGAACGCTTCTATCACCACGTCGGACATCAGGGGCTTCATGCCTAATGACCCGGACGCGACGAGAGCATTGCAGGGACTCGAGGGTGCTTGGTCCTGGTTTATTTAGCAATTTTTAGTTGAACGCTTTGTTGAAAATGTTAATAACGTTAATAATCACTATTTAATTAATTAAATTGTTGACCTGAATTCCGCACCATTGGTCCGCGCTTGGTTTGCGGTTGGTCTGCGCCACTACCCTTTGTGTACATTGCCATTGGTCTGTGGTTGGTCTGCGCCACTGTCCTGTGTGTACACTGCCATTGGTCTGCGGTTGGTCTGCACCACTACCCTTTGTGTACATTGCCATTGGTCTGCGCTTGGTCTGCGGTTGTCTGCGCGACTATCCTTTGTGTACTTTGCGTTTGGTTTGTTGGAACGCTTGGTTTGCTCTAGCCTGCCTCTAGCCTGCCTTTTTGGTACAGATTTAATTTTTGTTTGTTTTCTGTCAAACATATGCTTTGCAGCACCTCTTACTGTTTTGTGGCTGCTCTGGCGGCTTGAAAACTGGACCCCGTGACGAAAAAAGTTTCTGAAAGCTTACCAAACCAATAGCCCCGTAGCACCATTGGTCTGCGCTTGGTCTGCGGTTGGTCTGCGCCACTACCCTCTTTGTAGATTGCCATTGGTCTGCGGTTGGTTTGCGCCACTATCGGTCGGTCCTTAGTGTACCTTGCCATTTTGGCCTGCGCTTACTTATAGTTCCCCACCTGTCAGGTGAGGGTTGTTAGATTTTATGTTAGCTGACTTCCTCCTCCTTCTTCTTCTCTCCTCCTCGCCAGACCTCAACCACGACCATCCACGCCCAGTGTTCCCTGCCGGACCTCAACCACGACCATCCACGCCCAGTGTTACCTGCCAGACCTCAACCACGACCATCCATGGCCAGTGATTTCTGCCGGACCGCAACCACGACCATCCACGCCCAGTGTTCCCTGCCGGACCTCAACCACGACCTGCCACGCCCAGTGTTCCCTGCCAGACCTCAACCATGACCATCCGCGCCCAGTGTTCCCTGCCGGACCTCAACCACGACCTTCCACGCCCAGTGTTCCCTGCCGGACCTCGACCACAGCACACAACCACAAACACAACCACAAACAAGCAACCACAACCACAACTACAAACACACAAACACAATCACAAGCACACAGCCACACACACAATCACAAACACACAACCACAGACACAATCACACACACAACCACAGACACAATCACACATACAACCACAAACACACACAACCACAAACACACAACCACAAACACACAACCACAAACACGCAACCACAAACACCATGACGAATCACAAACAATCACTATCACAAACACACACACACACACACAACCACAAACACAACACACAACCACAGCACACAACCCGAGTACCCACAACCAAAATCGAGAACTACAATACTCACGACCATGGCAACATGCTCCTCACTATGGCATCAAGACAAAAGATTGAAATGTCATGGTGGGGACCACTCGAAGTAAAGTACTTGGTGCTTGCCTGCCTTTTTGTTGTTTTTGGGTTTCAATGATGTTCTGTATTTCTCCAAAATGTTTACTTTGCCGCACCTTTTACCATTTTGTTGCTGCTTTGACTGCTTTCAATCTGGAGATGTATGTTTGAATTTATTGAAGAAAAGTCTGAGAAGATTCCAAAACGTTGGAGGGGTTTGAGTTTGAGCTTTGAGAAGTTTGAGTTTCGAGAAGCCTCTTTCTGGACTCTATTTCTGGAGCCAGTCGAAAGGCCAATTGGCTGGAGCCAATGCAGACTCTGGAAGTGTCAGCCCTTCATTAATGGCTTTCCAAGAAGGAGGACATGGCATTGATGATGCAAAACCAAGGGCTGCTGGATCAAAACCCACACGCGGACAGGGACCTCCAAAGCCCTACAATCACTCCACGCAGACTTGAGGAATGTCTCGCTCCAGGGAGATGCGCGGACGGATGGACGGATTCGCCCTACTTGGCAACCACGACTACAGCAAGGCCAAGCAAACTCATGAGGTCAGCTGCCTGGAGCCGGTCGAGACAGACGTGGAAACTATTGGAAGCTTGTTGCATGTCCGCCTGTGCAGTGCTGTCTGCGTACGCACTGCTCGATCTGCCTTGACTGCTTCAACGCGTCGCCACATGCCCAAGGTGTTGACGTAAGAACATCCCCTTCGGTGACTGTCACTACAGCGACGACGTTGACAAAGAAGGCAGTGATGACAGCAAACACCACTGCCGCAAGGCTTGCCAAAGCCAGAGATGCTCCTTACTGCACGCAGTCAAGCTGACTGGACAACGACGCTCAGTTGTCTTGCAAAGAACACTGGAGCCACAGAACGTCGTTGGTTGGGAGCTTTCTACGGCGCTGAATCCAAGAGTCAGCGGATTCAATGATTTTGGAAGCTGATGGCGATCCTTGGCACTGGACAAGGGAGGTCCGAAGATTGAAAGACAGTGAGAACGGCGAGATGGAGCTCCTCAAGGCGCACTTCATTGTTAACTATTTGTTGACTTGTTGATTTTGACCGGTTGCGCCAATAAAAAGACAGACTAGTGATTAAACTTCGACAGACTCAGTTAATGCATCCCTTAATAATTTTCTAAGCCCCCCTTCTAGTCAACCCACCAAAGGCAAGATAAGCAGAATGCACTAACTGCATAAGGCTGATATTTCTAAAATAATTCTTTACAAAGAACATCCAAACGAACAAAACAGATCTAATTTCCAACTATATTTCAAGAGCGGGTTTGTTTAAAAAATAATCCCACTATTCTCCCAGAGGAGCCTTGTGGCCAACTTGCTCTCAACTACCACTGAAGCCTACCTCTTCCCTGCTCCTACCTCTTCCCTGCTAGTTGGCTGCCCCAAACCTTCACTTACAACATCTACTCAGTCTCACCGGAATCCGTCTCGCGCCGCGAATGTCAGGACAGTCTCACCTCCAAGGCACGTGAGGCCTTACAACCCACCAAGTGGCCGACAGTGACTCCCTGCAACGAGAACGGCCAGACGCTGGAGGCGGAACGCGACGTGCCGAAGGACGCCGCCGCCGGGCCGAAGGCCGAGGAGAACGCTGAGAACGCCGAGAACGAGCGTGTGCTTTTCACATGTCGCGATGGCTTGCCGTTGGACTATGATGCCGTGACCTGGAGATACCATCCAAAAAATGAGTGGAACATCCTGGAACCCTGGAGTGTGCAGTGTGACGTCATGCGTGGAACTTGTGGCGTTTTGCGGGGCGACACCACGTGTGGCCATCCTCCTTTTTCAGGGCGCACTGCAAGGGGGTGGGGTGACGTGGGATTTTCAGGAGAGGGACGCACTGAACGAGAGATGGGTCTTGACATAGAACGTAAAGGCCAAGCACTGAAGTGGCCTTGTGTGGTCTTCATTGTTAGCTCATGCCCTTGAATATGTGGGAATACTCGGTTTGCGGCGCTCCTGTCGTTCGGACGCAGATGGACAGAGTTAGATATGTTCGGAAAAAGGTGCCCCTAAACCGAGCGCTCGGCAGTCCGCCGTTGCGGCTTCACCACGGTAACCCGCCGTTTCGAGCGCTTCCATTGTGCTTCCCTAGGTGAGTGAGGAGACCTGGCGCGAGTTCGATGAGTCCTTGAGGCGTTTGGAACAGGAGCATCGGACCGCAGAAGTGCGACAGGAACGTCGGACCTGTGTTGGCCCAGACTCGCATCGCACGAACTATCGGACGACTGATGACGACGGTCTATGGCCTGGGAGTCAAGGACTACAAAGAGAATTGTCTTCTTTAGAGGACCTAAGAGGGAACTTCCTTTACTTCAGCCGGTCAAAATATGGTCGTTCGACTTCTAGGGTATACTCATCCGACTCATCTGAAGCGAACATGAGGAGGGAGCGTTCTCTTTTGGGGACAAGTCCATGTTCTGAAAATACAGACCGAGCCGAAATCGGAGTGCCGGGTGCCAATCAGTAATTGCACTCTGATGCAACATGGCGGTGGATGACAGCCCCGTGTTTGTCAAGGAATGTGTTCCATCGTTCTTCCTAAAGGACCACATATCATCCACTTCCAAATTGCATGTGTTCAACTCTGACATTTGAAGCCCCTGCTTCAATCAGACAAAGCTCAGAAGGGCGTGGGCACATCAGCGGCACGAGGCCGAAAACTATCTCCGCGGCATGATCAAGGGGCTCACTATGGCAGAGGGCGGGAGTGAAAGGACCAAGGCAGAGCGCATGACATGTGGCGCCGGAGCGGGGCAGTGGGGGTCCCGGTCGAAAGCCGTTAAAATTCTGTTGTGACCTTGGAAGTCTCAGACTGCCCAAAAATTGCATGTTCCCATGTTAAAACTCGTGTTTGGTAACATAATTATATACTTATATAATCTTATATAATGATTTAATGCTTACCGCCATGTTGTATGTTCATGTCGGCCTATGATCTAAACAACCTACCCTGCTACAGTATGTAAACATTCAGTATTTGCCGGGGTGACATGCTTCCACCATCCCTTAGTTATCTTTTTCTTTTGTGCTAAGTTCATCTAAATTCCACCCTTGATCCGTCACAGCCGTCAGGCAGCCCCACTGGAGAAGAAGATCATCAGCCGCGGTTTGGTGGAGAACTGCCCCGACCTGGTTCGAGCCCCCGCCGTCGCCGCGGCCGGACTCGCGGCGAACCGTCCGTTCGCGCCGGGCGAGCGGCTCGTGGCGCGGCGACCCTTTGGAGAAGTGAACCTGGGCGGCGCCGGCGCGGGCTCTGGCAGCTCCGGTTTCAACGGCCTCGGCACGAAGCCGGTGAGGTACAGAGCCACGATTTACTGAGGCCAGGGAGGCAAAGAGTGTGTGTGTGTGTGTCGGTTTTCCCGGAAGTGTGGAGATCGACCTTGGATGGGCCTCAGTTTTTTTTCCGAAAGCGATGGCTCAGTAGTATGCTCCGTAGGCGCCCAGGCAGGTTTGGGGGAGATGTGAAGTCGACATCTCAAAACAGTTTGGACCTGCTGTAATTTGACGATCAGATCGACAGAAGTTCTGCAAGCGGCCCTGTTCATTTGGCACGCGGACAAAAAATGGCCGAACTTGGCAACGAAGCGAAAATACGAGATTGAACATGATTGAACGATAGAATATACGGTGAGTGGCAACCTGGAGTCCCAAACCATCCCAAACCTAATTAGGTTAATCTCAAACCGGATACCCTGGTTTTGACCCACAGCCATAGAGGCCAGGTTGGCGCAAGACTGCATGTTGCATCCATTTTTGCATGTGTTTTCTCTCCAAGAAACCTGCAATGTTCATATCCATTGTCCACTTCAGTGAGTAGCTCGTTTGGATGTCCTCTTCCTCTCCTCCACTTGCTGAGGATGCGTTTGGAAAACCAGGCCAGGGGCCTTCTGCTGGTGGGGCAAAGTACGGTTGGTGCTTCTGGCAGAGAAAGAATATGTATGATATTTATGCACATTTGAGCACCAGTGGGAGATTTATTATTCCTCAAGAGATAAAATAAATTGGTCAATATATGTCTATATCCTGGGAGGCTTGTCATTCCTCTATCCCCACATTGGCAATGGCTTCTGCGTGTTTTATTCTTTGGGTAGACAGCAAGTTCCATACCTTGAGCAATGTAACGTACTTACTGTAAATCAGTGCATTTGGGAAGGACATCCTGGGCCTCCTTTGTTCAGACTCGTGTGAGGCCTATTTGCTGAAGCAGATGGAGGAGAAGGACTCTCGTAAGAATGAGGCCAGCGCCCGCCGTCAAAGGTTTGATTTTAGCTGACTTGGCGTTGCGCGGGTGGGCAGGGGCGGTGTGTTTTGTGGTCAAAGACTGCCAAACACTCACCTTTGGGATGGAGAATGGTAGGCCCATCAGATCATCCAGCAGTCCCACAAATGGAGAACTTGGATAAAGATCCGAGGCAGCCTTGGACCAAAACGGAGTCTAGTTAATGCTAGACAGAACTCCTCTCTGAATGCTGGACCCACCTACGCCTAAGGATTCCACCTCACAATCCTCACATCAGACACCTGGCAGCCAACAGATTTGCCACCTTGTCCCTTGCATCCGCTAAATGGCGGTTCAGTCCAAGTTATAGGCTCAAAGGACAGCATCCATTTCAGAGCTTCACTTCAAGGGGTGTACTCACTTATCCCTAGGTGAGTGGATGTTCTGGGCACCCCTAACCATAACCTCCATCAAGCACCTCTTTGGAACTGCTGGAGCTCAAAATTATGCTCAAGATGTCTTACCCTCTGACTCACGTCCATGTTAGTGAGTCGGAGTGTAGAGGTCCTGTTGAACATCAGCTGACTTTTGAACAAGGGAGATCTAGCGATTCCCACGTAATTTGGTATCTCATATCCTCCCCGGACTTCGCGATCGCACTGAGATGTTGAGGATTCCGGGAAAAGGGAAGGACTTCCCGCAATCACATGTTGGAGCCTTCCAAGGCCTTCCAAGTGATCCCGGAACTGCATGTCGTTGGTCAAAAAGGTATCAAAAAGTCATGTCATGTGTTTTGGTTGATGTCGATTTGTTGGAAGCTGGAAGAGCTGGAACGATGCAGGAGGTATCAGTCAACCAACTTGCACTCCTCGTGGCAGACAATGACTCTTATGTAGGTATAACAATGTATGACTACTCATTGTGATGGAGTTTTTGGGTACTATCAATCATCGCGATGGCCTTTGGAAACGGATGATGTTAGTGATGTGTGTTTGATCCAGAGAACCCAGTAGTGGCCCCAGCCCCTCATCATTCGCTTGGAGAAAACCGTCAGATCATGATGCCCAGTCGCGGTCAGGAGAAGTATTTACAGCAGATCCAAGCGGCCATTCTCGAACGAGATGCTGAGGACTGGATGTCGTTCTGAATGATTTGTTGAGCATTTTTGTTGGGTGGACACTTTTTTTTGTGGGGGGCAACGGTTAGATGGAGACACCATGATAAATCCAAGCCGGACTACTGCAAATGATCCAAATGCAAATCAACATAGCGAGATTTCTTGCGGTTGCTCCCAAGTCGCAGCATCTCCCCCGCCATTGGCGGGTTAACCTATCCGTGCCATAGGTTGCGCCTTTGGGTGAAACGTCTCCGGCGAGCCTCATCTTGGAACAGACTCGTTCTATACCTCCATTGACCCAGTAGCGGACGAGCCAAGTACTTGGCGCCAGTACCTTTAAGGCGCCGGAGCAACCTTGAAACCTCCCAACCTTTCAGGTGCCGAAGCCAGAAAAACACCGTCTGACAGGAGTACAACTCGGTGGAGAAGCAGAAGGTCATAGACCGAAGGGTCCGCAACCTCGAGCACCGCAAGGCTGGAGCGGAACCGTGGCAGGTGCGGTTCTGGCAGTCCTCCCATGTCCTCCCAACCAATGGATAGACTGGTCTATGTTCCTCCTTCCAGGAAGTCGAACTGGAAGGCCTCCCTGTAAAAAAAACAACTACAAAACATCATTGCAATCTCATTGTGTGAGTACGCGTCCATTATCATGGTTGTTCATTCTTTCCGAAGAGCGATTCCTCGTAACGGAAAGGTTGTTTCATGACCCTCCCATTCCGACCTGAACTCGCTTCGTCGGGGTGGTCCGAACAAAAAGGGAATCCGACCCATATGTCATAGGACCCATCAACCAGCCAGGTGCAGTCAGATTTGGGAGTTTGTATGAGTTTGGTTTGTTGTTCGATGCGCAGTTGTGCCCAGGTACTGGTAGATGGACGTAGGTCTTTTTTCGATAGACTCAGATAGACACTATTGCAACCGTTTAGGGTTCAGGGTGCAGTTGATCTATGCTAACCACCGTCCAGGATCCCTAGGCTTAGCCATGAGATGTGGGGTGGTTTTCGACCTTCTCACCTCCCATCACCTCCCCAAGCAGATCCGTCTTCTTCTTCAGGACATCGAGAGGCAGATGGAATACAAAGCACGGCAGTCGGTGCCAGAGATGAGTGCCTCGGCCGACGGACGTGACGGAAGTGACGGAAAACACCGAAGACGCGGAAGACGCCGAAGACCGAAGGATGGGAGGTGTGCGAAGAGCCTCGGCCGGTCGACTGCATGCAGGGTGACATGGGGACGCGACGCGTGACGCGACGCGTGACGCGTTTCAGTCATCTTCTAAAGAGGTGATTGTTAGAATAAAGGTCCCACACACGTATGGTCTTAGATTGCCATACATGTATTCGAGTGATGGATTGGTTGATTAGATGCTCTTAAATGGATTTGGTTGATGCTTCGCACATTGTGCAAGGGAGACCTCCCAAGAAAGAAACTCCTGCCAAGAAAACTCAACATTTCTCTCAAAACCAGTTGCTCATGCCAAGCCAGGGAGTTCTACCTTCGTCCGGGTTCTCAGGGCATCTTCCAACTCCGGTCGAACCCGGCGCCATGTTCCACCCCCTCCCCTCCCCTGGCTGAAGCCGGGTGCAGGTGAAGCCGAAATCCAGTTGAATAGGCGAAGCCAGGGAACGGCGCAGCGGAGCAATGCGGAGCGGACCGGTTCGGACCGGTCGACGTCGGTGTGTTGGGTGAAGCGTTGGCAGAGTCCTCTCTTGGCACGATGTTTGGTTTCAGAACGATAGAAGAAAGGAAGTGTTGCATCCTAGGAAGCAGGTTCTTGACTATGTGACAGCATGACTCAGCATGACCTTGGTCTTGGATGTGTTTGATCAAAGATGGTTGCTGGTTGGTGGCTTCGACAGGTACCAGTTGCTGTGGCGCTCGCAGCTGTGATGGCCATAAGTTGCCGGTTGCTTCGACAAATGAAGTGTGGGCCAACCATAGCCAACCATAAAGCAGTCAAACCAAACAACAAACAAATACCGCTAAACTCCCTCCAGGCCATGTTTCATCTACTTTCGGTCGCGGTTTTCAGGGTCCACATTAATTTGCGAGAGGGCGGCCGAGTAGTTCAATTCAGCATCTTCATGTCTATCACGTCCAAAGCCTCCAAAGATGCTGGTGAGCTGATGCGAAAGATGCAGTATGCACCTGTGTCGGCATCACTTGCATCAGTCTGTTGGAGCGAGCTGGAACGACCATCCACACCAAGCCTCCATGGCAGTCTGGGAATTGGTCCCAGGTCTTCCTCCATCAACAACCTGTGGACTTTCTGGGCGCAAATCCTACCAGTTGACTAGGTCTGACATGCGTTTGACCAAAATTCCCTTCCCATGGGCCATGGGCCAGGGTTGACACCCCCGAGCTGCACTCCCTACCGAGCTGGCCCTGTACGCCAGGCCTCTACTGGAACTGGTCGAGCGCACCCTGCAGACCCGTGATGAGCATGCCGGGAATCCGACGCAAAAACTGTTTGGACAAAGCAGAACTAGACAAGAGAGCCTCAAAACCCATTGTTGCCATAGAATGGAGTGTCATATTATGTCACTATATATACAGTAAGAGAGGGATATCGGGTCCATTGGGATCATTAGGCAAGTCCCTGACCTACAATTCGATTGTGGAGTTGTGGATAATTGCCGGCTTTTGTTACCCCAAGTGATTTTCATTGATTTTCTTTGGGATGATCATTGGGATTGGTTCGCCCTTTCTACAAACAAGCTGGGTGAAAGACCACGTCAAGATGATTTCAGATGCTGGACCTACCTCTTTTCCCAGCAAAACTGAACCAACTCTAGTAACAGGAAGCTACTAGGAACAAAGGGCGTCGCTACTAGGAGCAAGAAGCTACTAGTAGCTCCTGGCCTTACCACTAGTAACAAGAAGCTACTACAGACAATTTAGGGGCAACGCACCTGAGGTGAAAATGGCGAAGGAGATGGCGAAGCCAATCGCTGAGGTCGCTCGTGCGGGGGCAGGACGAAGGAAGGACCACGAAAGCTCGAAGCAACAAATCAGCGGTCAGAAGCTGTCAAAGCAGAGAAGACTTAAAGAGATAGGAAGATTAGGTAAGTGAGAAACCTCACCCCATCGGTTCAACAAGTAGTAATCATTCCTGTTCAGATTTTGGTGGGATGGTATGACCTTCCTGTTCAGCCCAAAATGACCCGTATACAAACATAGTGTAGGGAGGTTCTTAGAGTGGAGCGCACATGTTTTGAGTGTTTCTGCCCCAAAGGTGGAACAGAACCACGTTCGGTCGTAGGTTGCCAACACGGAAGAATGACCACGGGATTCCTTTTTATTGGAGGCGGGCTGGAGCAGGTTCAAATGTTCAATACCAGGCTTTTCGGTCAAAGTGATGATTTTAGCACCTGGAGCTCCTTGATGAAGATGATGAAGGAATTTTGCAAATAGAATTGTTCCCCCCCATCAACGCGCCAAGTTTTAACACTGTTTTAACCCTAAAACCACACATGGATTGCTTGGAGAAAGGATTTCGCCTTTGCCATGGCTCGCCAGGAAGATGAGGAGGATGTGTGAAGAGGCTCGGCCAGTGCAAGCATAGCACGCATAAAGGCTAGAGCCACACCATACTGTACGGACCCTGAGCTACTTTACTCAAACACCCTGCCTCCAGCCGGTCTTAAATAAGGTGACACAAAGCCGTCGGAACTAAGGCATGCATGTTGGACCGGGGTTGGTCCATTTGTGCCAAGCTGTGGGCCGGTCGGGTGGGGAGTAGTTGTGTTTACACGTGAAATCTCTCCGACAAACACATCACAGGGTGGAACCCCCCCATTTATAGAGGAGCATGGTCATCCTTTCTGGACCATGTTCATCCTCCAGCTTTTTGCCTAAAAAGGCGCAGAAGCATGATCTTGTCCTTCTCTTGGTCTTGCTTAATTAGGGTGATATGTGTTTTCCGTATGGGTGAAACTCCTTTTGGGGGAGTATTTCAGTATGTCTTGGTTTTTCTCGGTTGCTTGAACAAATCCAAGATTTTGCAAGATCAGCTGGGCTAAAACTGGGCAATCTTGACTGTTGATCAATACCTCCCAGTGGACTCTCCAGAGGGGGTTGCTTCAGCAGCTGCCTACATCACCAAAACAGATCGATGCTGGATTTGTTCTTCCTCCCCCGAGCCGACTCTTCTTTCATTTGGGGACACAAGATGGAGGAGAACAAGATGACAAGACCCGCAAGCTGCGCAAGCAGGACATGTCTTCTGAGTGGTTTGCTCTCAGCTGCTGATTCACCAATGCGAATTCGGCATGTTGGGACCCGGTCGTGGTTTCGATTGACCAAAAGGCATTTACGGTATATCGGATCGCGGGCGTTCACGCATTCGGCGTCAGTTCTTGGAATTCATGGGCTGCTCTAGAAAATCTCAACGTGCCAAGGGTCCATACTGTGGTTTTGGTAAGAGACAGCTGCAGGAAACCCTCAACCCACAAGAGATCTCAAGAGATTTGCCGATTCGGACGGAGAGGTTCAGCAACTTGTTGCAGTTTCTGGTTTTGCAAGATGTTCACTGTTGATGAGTCGAATCAACCCCCCTGGAGAGATATGAGTTGCTGTATCTATACAATAGAAGTCGAAACACAATCTAATCAGAATATAGCCCTTACCAAACATATTGTTATACTAAAGGTTTAACCACTGCAAAACCATGGTCTTGGACTTCCAGCGTATATCACCAACCGTCAACATATGATGTATGCAAACATCACGTCGGCGACCCCAGTGGAGTGGCTACATCACAACCCAAGCGTCGTTCGACCGATGCTCCGGCGTTCCTTATCGCCTGCGGTGTTTCACCAGTGGTGATGCGCAGGGAAGGCCGAGACAGCAGGACGCAAGAAGTATTTGCAAGTCTCGATTTGAAGTGAATCTCGCTTAGGGGGGTTGGTGAAGGTCCGATCGGCCACAACCCTTGGAACACGAAGACCACCAAAGCGGCACCACAAAGAGTTACAATAAGCAGCTCTCCCTGATGTGTCACAGGCATTTCGCCGTTGAGGGGGTGAGCTAGATCTCATCGTTTCACTCTCCGTTTCACCGAGCTCGGCGAGAACTCGAACAGCACTGTGGAGAGCGTGTCGTCCTGGCAGATCAAGCGATGCGCGAAGTTCGCGCTTGGTTCGCGCCTGGCTTGTGCGAACAGCCTGGCCGGGGTCGTTGGGCTTTCATGGGATATCATGATGAGCCATATATGAAACCATGATGTTGTTTATTGATCAAGAGTCTACATTATGGCATTTGGCGCCACCAATCACCTGAAGAGCACCAGGAAAGAACCTGGGACCCGGTGGAGAAACCTCGTGATATTCTACACCTATACACCTGCCTCAGTGGCAGAAGTTAACCGCTAGCCTGTCTTTGAATTCAGCCGTTGGATCCTCCGGATCTCAGAATTCGGGCGCCCGTCCCATCATGTCACATCATCCTATATACACAGATCCGATCACGTGGTGGCCTTGGGTCATTCCTGACTCCCAGTTGAGATTCTTTCTTGTTTGACCCATGTTCACCCACATATGCCACTACTTGGCGTCATACTGCTGAGAGTATCTGAGTAGCTCATGGATGTTCATGTGAGTGCATCAGACAAGTGCAGTCATCGACAAGAGTGTGAGGATGCATGCTGTCAGGATGCTGCGGATGACTGTACACAGATGACTGTACACGTCTTTCCGGCACATGGTTACGTGAATGGCATGGGTCTCTTGGAAGACGACTTTCCAAACACACTGGTGTCCTCTAGGGCCATGGTGGCCTACAGCTTTCCACTACAAACAGGGAGTTGTCCACTTCCATGTGATGTGCTTGTCAGAGTGTGTACTGAGGGTGAACACCACCAGAGTCCCTTCAGCTCGAAGCTGAGGATGCCCCGCAGCTCACGGAGGCAGAGCTTGTGGAGGTCGTGGCGGGAAGCTGACCGGTCGGTTAACAAAAGACACACTCGGGCTCACGTTTCCATGGAAGTGGAGAACCCCCTGTGCGTAAAGGAAAGTAGTCTTCCAAGCAACCATGCCATCCACGTAACCATGTGATGTGTTCGTCACAGTGTAATAAAAGTCCCACCTGAAGAAGGAGTCATGACGAAGCTTGGTAGAATTCTTTATGCCTTTGGCGGTGTGTCCAAGGAAGATGTTTGTCATTCCAAGAGGCATCTTTAAAAAGGAAAAAAGAAAACCACTTCAGAATCGGCTGTGGCTTCATGTTGCTCCAGAATGTGTCATTGTTTACATTATTCATACATTATTCTTGGGCAATCGATCTCTCAGCCATCAAGGGTGCACCTTTTCTTGTTGGGGAATAGCCAGAAGTGTTGAGGCACGATCTGATGCGTTTCATGTTTACAGCTGTCTCTTTTTCTTTGGTCGGCGCCAAACCCTTGTGAGAGACCCTCCATGCCGCAGTGCTGCACCACTTCCATTTCTGCGCCACTTCCAATACTGGAGAACATATTCTGCACAGGAATGTTTCCCCATGTTATCCCCACATGGCACCACTGTACTAAATGTGCCCAAATGGGAAACCCTCCTGTCAACCACCAAATTGCACAGGTCAAGGACGGGCTCGCGAGGCTGCTGGCCACCCCAGGACGTTCGAGGGTCGAATCATTGCGAGAAGAAGAAGAGGAAGATTCCTACAATCCCTGAAGCAACCATGGAAGTGGACCGCAACTGTAGGCGCCTTCCAAGAAGGCCATGTGTCCTCTAAAAAGGGGCGTTGTCCTTTTGGGTCCTGGTCAGCTTCGTTGGAGCCCGGTCTGATGAACCGGATGGACGGATGGGGTGGCGGAGCCTGAACTCGCAGCTCACGCGGGCGAGAAGGAGAAATCGGCTCGGTGGCTGGAGCTTGCAAGGTCTGATAGTTTGGCTATACTCGTTTGGCTACACCAGGGTCCATGCCGTTTGATGGGCCCACTGGAGTAGTAGTAGGGCAATCCACCAAAAAAGAATAGGAATGGTCGGTATATGTATTTGATTGGTTGTGTTTTAGGGCTCGAGCCAGAAAAGAGATGGCTCATTCCAATTTGGTGGTCCTTTTTGCCTCACCTTTTTGACTCGAAGGGACCCGAGAACCAGCTGAGCACGGGGAATGGCCACCGAGGTTGCACCGCTTGAGCTGGGAGAAGCAGCGATGGTCCCTGGAGGAGCTTTGGGGCGTCCAATACGGGGGACGGCCAGGGAGCTATGGGGCGGCCAAGCCGTGGAGACGGGCGCCGTGGTCTTCTCACTGCCAACACGGCGTCGTGTGACGGCGTCGGGTGACGGCGTCGGAAGGCCAGACATGGCAGACCCCGTTTTTGGGGATCGGTGGAGTTTGGGGAGGGGTCCACCCTTTGGCCAGGTGAGTGCAGCATGTTAATGGGTTGGGTCTTGCCTCCAAAATCATCCAAAATCAAGTGAATCTTGACCCCAAATTCAAAATCAACAGAATCGATGTAGGAAAGACACGTTGATGGTTCTTTGACCCCAAATTCCCAAAAAAGCGGCATCTTGGGTCCAAAAATCCGCCAGAAAAAAATAGAACTCCACCACCTCTCCTCCAGGCGCGACGCCGGTTGGGAGGATCCAACGAACGAAGGGTTGAAAAAACCGACCCACGCCACGGGGCAAAAGGAAAGGGAACGAAGAAAGATCCAACAAAAAAAGAACGAATAAATATATATAGCCTCCCGGGTTTTCAGATATAGTTATATAATACTATTCAATTATTAGTACTTTAGTATGCTATATGTGTTTTTTGGGTGCGGGTTTTCAGAGTGGTCCCTGCCAACCAGCCAGCATCGCATCTCCGGCTCCTCCGGCGTCAGGATCGAAAGCTCATCACCGAGGCCGGACGTGGAAAGTCGTCTTCCGTGATGGATCGTCGTGGGGCTCATCCTACCCGTCTTCAGCCCCCCTGGATGAGCTTAAAACACTCACCGGTCCGGCAAAAAAGAACACTCACCAGGTGGAAAGAGGTCAACTACCAGGTGTTCTTCCTGGCAACCGAACCATCGGCGTCGCCAAGAGCTGGTTGCGAGTTCGCCAAGTGCTAAGTGGAGTGCGATTTCTACCTTAAGCTATCTTAAGCCACTGGATATTGGCATGTGGCATATTACTATTATCGGCCTCCATAGCTATTCATTTCAGAGCCGAGTAGGTCTCGACCCTGACCACCTGCGTGTTGAATCCTTTTCAGAGGCGAAGACGCAACGTTCGTGTCGGGTACGCATGCTGCACCCGAATTCGACCCGGTCCCAGCGACAGAACGGAGGTCGATGTTACAGGTTGCCGTATTCCACCGATGACCTGTTTTAAGGGTCACCGAATAGCCCTGATGACCGGTTTTACGACGCCGAATTCCACCGATGGGGTGGGCTAAAACCAGCAGCAGCAGTTCAGTGCCCAGTCCCACACCGCAGCCGATTTGGGCGAAAAGCGCAGCACCGCAGTGCCACAACGGCAAGTGCCTAGCAGGAGCTGCTTCGAGGCGTCGCAGTCGCCATGGGCTCCACGGCCACGAATCGAGACACGCTCAGCCTGCATCTGGGCTGAGAAGCTACTAGGAACAAGTGCCACGCTACTAGGAACAGGTGCCTTACTAGTAGTAACAGGAAGCTACTAGGAACAGGTGCCTTACTAGTAGTAACAAGAAGCTACTAGGAACAGGTGCCTTAC